CTGGCCAAAGCCGAGAAGAACAAGGAGATCAGTGACTATTTGAGTTGGATTTACCATGCTGGTGTCAAGTCGGCCAAGGTTGATGATTTGCGTAACTACATGAAGTACATGAACTTCAATCCGGATGACAGCTCCGCTTCCATCACCTATCCAGGTACGTCGATTCCTCGAGAATTTTAAACGATTCTTGGGAGTGTCAAAGGTGACACATGGCATATGAACCGAGGACCCTTGGCTCGAGGTCAGAGCAAAAAGGCGCCTTTGCTTGCGGCCCCGGGTGGGGCCTCCGCAACCACACACACATATATATATATATATTTTTATTAAATGTCTAGTAGCAGTATACATGTCGTATATATATATATTGATGTTTGTTTGTTTGTCTGCTTGTCTGTCTGTCTGTCTGCCTGTCTATCTATCTATCTACACTATCCGGGGAGTACATGGCGCAATGTTTTCTATATATAGATGGCCCCCCGGCTTGCTGGACATGGATGCTCCCATGTTTGGAAGATGGCTTAATTGGCAGGTTTTTTCACCATGCAAGGCTAAAATTCCATTAGGTCTAAGAGAAAAGGCGCCATCTACTCTCCGCTCCGACTCATGGGAAAAAGCCGACTCCTTTGCTCACCTGTCCGCTCTCCCTCCATCCGCGAACCAAAACCACTGCCATCTACTTTCCCCTGAGCACCACCTTTTTTTTCATGAATTTTCAGCCGATCGGAGTCCGTACGGGGAAAAAGTGCATTTATGCGTTGTTTGCATAATAGATCAGCACAAAATTTTGAGGGCCAAGTACTGTCAAAGTAGAGTATCTGTCTACTCACATATATGCATAAACGCTAAGTTTGCTCAGCAAACTTTGCTGCGTGTGAGTTGGTCCACATGAATGGTCAACCTGAGGCCCGTACCGAACATCCCTCTCTGGGCTCCTGTAATTCAAACACCATGGACAATTGAGAATAGGGTTCATACATGGTTCATACTCTTCCATCTTTCCCCTCAGATTCATCTCCTGCTGCGACGGCGTTTAGGGCTCCGGCTCCTCCAGAACAAAGGTACTTGATGCTCGTTTGCTACCTCAAAATCTCTTCAAGCTATCGTCGTACCTAACAGTTTCTCATCAAAGTGATGTGCTCCAGAATCCAACCTTTTCACTCCGCAAGCACCAGCAACCATTTTGACGGTGCTTGATGCAGTCTGTCCAGCTTCATGCTGCTCGCGACGCTTTGGTCGCCCTCAAATCTCATCGAGTCTCATCGTCTCCACTTTGTCTGCACGGCTGAGCCGAAGTGCTTGACACTTCAAAACCCTTTTGGCCAAACCATGCTGTTCCTTAGCCAAAAACACTTGCAAAGGCACCCTATAGGACTCTATAGGGGTATGGGCGTGCGGGCATCACAAAATTCCTCTCACAACTCATAGAAACAAAAAACAAACAGCTTCGTGTATCTTTTTCCCTTCAATGAAAAAGAATGAAAAAGGTGCAGTGTCTATTCTGGATAAGTAAGTGCTGTCAAGGCGACAGAGTCATCCTCAAGCGTTCTCTTGCTTCCGCCATCACTTCTGCTGGTTTCGCAAAAAGGTGCTCGCCCGGCAGGCCATGACTGCACCACTCCTGGATCGAGTCAATGATTCTGGTAGTGTTTCCCTTCTCCTCTTGAGAATCTTTGCGCTCTAACTTGGAATGACGTCTTGGAGACGCTGCAAACATTTGATGACTGCGAATGTAAGTGCAAAACACTCCCGACCTTCTCTGTAAAAGCGGTATTACCTCCCACGGCATTCAATTCGCAGTTGCTGGCGCCAGCGCAGCCATACGCCTAGCATAGCACAAAACAAAAAATCTGAAGCTTGATCAAACACAAAGGACAGCAAGTGGCACGCATCCACTAAGTATCTGTCACCTTTCTATTCCATCGGAGATAGATGGCAATGAATGAACGCAGCAAAGAAAACAGTAGTAACACATTGATCGATCAAACATATTAACGTATCTAACGGTTTCGCCACAGTGACAGTTGTAAAGCAATGCTGGATACAACAGCACAAACATTGCTTGCCTTGTAGCCAGGACAGGTATTTCCACAAGAACAACCTTTGGAGGAACTTCATGTTTTTTCACTGGTTCAATTTGGATCGTGAAGCTTTCCCAGTTCAATGACTGATCATACAATTCATGGGTGATGACAGAGTCAGGAAGCCAAGTCAGGAAACTCGAAGACAAAATCAGGAAACCCATGGAAGAATCCAACGTGCTGGAATGTCACTAATTCGATGTGCAATCCAAGTGGGAAACATTTTGGGCCGGAGGGACGCCAAGGTTGAAACTATGATTCAAAGGAGAAGGAACCTATGGGTAACTTGGGCTGGAAACAAACGAAAATCAGGAGGTTTTGCTTTTTCCCCAGATAGCGACAGCTATGGGGGTTTTACTTCAAATAACAATGAACTGGCTGTGCGCGCTTTCGAGACAGGGTGCCGGTGCCGAGTGCTGGTGCTGGATGTGGTGCTGGCGCTGGCTGGGTGCTGTGAGCTGGCTGTGTGCGTGGTGGAGACATGCCAGCGCCGGGTGCTGGTGCTGGCTGTGGTGCTGGCGCTGGGCGCTTCGTGCTGGCTGTGCGCGTGGTGGAGACAGGCGCTGGGCGCCGGTGCTGTGAGCTGGCTGGCCGCTGCTGGGTGCTGGTGCCATCGTCTCCAACTCAAAAACAGCTCGTATAATACAGAAAACTCATCATAAATGAATACATGTGGGTGAGATTATGAAGAAATCCATGAATAAATCTCATCCACAACCATTAAATCTATTATCTATATTCTTTATATTGGTCTTACAGGAATTCATTCTCCCACTTTTATTAAATCCTGTAAGGCCAAGAATGAATAAATAAGAGATCAAGAACCAACAGTAATTGTGTTAATCTGGCATTCTTCAAAAATAATCCATGTTGGTAAAGATAGAAGTTAAATAATAAAAGATTGGCCAAAGAGCTCAGGATTTGAAATCCTTACGCCTACTTACTTTTATTCACTCTTTTCTTCATTCATGCTTTATTTGCTTTCATATATTCAAAAGCATGAACGATAAAGAAAAGACCAAATATAAAGGCTCTTTAAATTAATGAAAACACAAAGAATTACGCCTTTATCATGGAGTAAACGCCTTTATCATTCATTTGTAAGGTGTGGACCGCCGAAAGGAAAAAGAGGGAGACAAGGAAGAAATTAATAATGCAGCATCCTATTTTATATTCCTTGTTTTCTTAATAAAAAATAGGATGATAAAATGCAGAGATTACTAATATATTATTGGGATCTATTCTGTAATTCTATTCTATTAGTGAATTGATCCAAAAGTTATAGAAAATATTAGTTCATGGATTTATGGGTCATTCTCTCCTCCAAAATTATCATAGGACGACCAATATAGCATTAAGGTAAAATAAATGTATAAGAGACAGATGTTCACGGCCATTGAATTTTATCAAGTATTTCTATTAACAATTCAATGGCCTATCAATCATTCATTATATATATTTGGGTGGCGTGGGACTTCACAAAGGAAAAAGCAAAGGTAAAAAAATGATGCCACCCATTAATCTTTTATTTATATGGCATGGGTTTCTTTCGTTTACTCTCTTATTAAAAACCATGCCGCCCATTATTATTATTATCTTTATCTTAGGTGATTTTCTTTATATTAACTGCTATAAGAAAATCCAATGATATTAATTTTTGTAGACAATGGAGTTTCTATGAGCCAATAAGCAGAAGATATCATCTATAATATAGAAACTCAATTATTATTCATTCTGTTTCACTTTCATTTCGTACAGTTTCTCCCTCAAGTTAAAGGCCAGTCCAAGATCTGGGAAGTTCATACACCATTCATCTCTTTATATAAGGACTTCAAACTTCTTGGTATTTTCAAGAGACCAGGCCATATAGTGAAGACATTAAGACTCAGCCCCAGACCACCGTTATATTGGGTGGATCTTGGGGGTGCCACAGTGAAGAGACAGATGGGCCCCTTCTTGGATCTGGGCCCCCCCACTCTTGGCCCTTCCCTTGTGCCTCTTTAGTTCCTGTCACGTAGAAAGACTCACGATGGAACGGTTTATGGATGGTTCGCGAGTCTAGGAAACTGACTGTAGAGAATGAATGACAATAGATTTCATGGTATCCCGCCTATTGAATTTCTTATTGGCGGTTTATTGTCATTCGTTTGTTGTATCTTTCATGTGGATGTTCATAGAAATCTTGAAATAGAAAATCCACAGTAAATATATCAACGCCTTCGTTTTTTTAGTCAGCCTTTCATTCGCTTGTGACCAAACAGATTAACTCCTAGAGACAGATGGGCCCCTTCTTGGATCTGGGGCCCCCTGCTCTTCACCTGGCGGTTGACCGGTGAATGATGATTACGAACGCCTATAATTTTCTCTCCTATAAATTTCATGCATTCTTTGTCCCGCATCATTTTTAAATAAAATGATGGAAGATAGAAAGGTGACCCGTGGCCAAAACAAACTATATCCTGTCAATCTATTTTGGCGAGTCCTTCATGTCATATCGTATAATTCAATGATTCATTCTATCATTTATATTAGACTTCAGGTCATGTTCTAGCTCTTTCAATTTATATTTTCATTGATGCACAACCTTTTGTTTCTCTTATTAACATTTATGGGGCATCCAATATTATAAAGTGGCCTAGCGGTAAACCTTCTTTAGGAAAAGAAAACATTGGTGGACAACACAAATTGCCAGGCCATAATAGATAAATAGACTAGCCATTAACCCAGCGTTTCATTTAAATACAAAATGCTGTCATGATTATAGAAAATGCATTGTTGGTCTTTGTCCTCTCTTATTCGCTTGTGACCCAACAGACTAACTCCTAGAGACAGATGGGCCCGACCACGACTCACGAACCATCCATAAACCGTTCCATCGTGAGTCTTTCTACGTGACAGGAACTAAAGAGGCACAAGGGAAGGGCCAAGAGCAGGGGGCCCCAGATCCAAGAAGGGGCCCAGTCAGACATGGCGGCTGTCAATGCCCTACAGCGGTTAACCTTTCCTTTTCCTTTCGTACACCATCAATCTCAAAACATGAAAGACGAGGATGAGATTGATCGGGCACAGTGGCTTGCCTGGGATTCCTTGGGCCCCTTCACTGCTGTCATTCACCTTCCAGTTCTTTCCAGCGTCCAACCCATGCATTCATCGCGGTCGCCGGTCCATTGCTATAAGCCTTTCAATCTTTGGAGACACCATGACCACTGGAAAAGGGATGCAATTCTTCTTGCAAAAAAAAGGCACCCCTTTGCATGCACTGCAATTTGACGTGCCGGAAAGAAGTCTAGCCTCTGACCCGCAACCTTTTCTGGGAGCCAGGTTGAAACCAGCCCATATCGTACGCCTATAATCTAACGGCAAGCCCCAAGCCTAAAGAAACGCTATATAACTAAGCGTGACCCGCAAGCCAAACCAAAAGAAACACTGACGCAGTGAGGCCCTAAAGCAAGCGCAAAGACACCCTAAAAGTGAAGCCCCAAACAAAGCCCAAGCTAACGTCAAAGAAGTGAAGCCTGAACTAAGCCTAAAGAAACCCTAGAGAAGTGAAGCGGTATACCACGCCCAAAGAAACCCTAAACCTAGCATCGAGAACACTCAAAAAGCATGGGTACCCTGACTAGGTTTCCTGGCTTTTCTGACTCCGTCAACACGGTTTCCTCACTCTGGTGTGGATTTCCTGACTCCGTCTTCTCACTACATTTCATACTGCAGCTCTGTCACCGCATTCAGCACAGCAGGCACAATCAGTCAACCCTGCGGCCACATGAGGTTGACCGCACCACATCTCCTGGCTGCTCTGGTAACATCTCTTTTGATGACCACTTGATAGTTCTTTGTGCTGAGAGACCTTGGCATGTGTAGGCATATTCGGCATAGGCTTCAACGGCTCCAATCCCTTTTCATCCGCTTTAACAGGCCCTGCTTGATCAAAGAAGATTCTTGCAAAAACAGGTGGACATAGGTTGACAGGTGAGCGGCACTCCTCGGTATATCTCGTATTCCCCCATACCTGGAGCAACTGCTCTGGATTTCTCTATGCGCTTGCAATCACACAGAGGCTACCAAATCAAGGTAAATCAGCAGGGCTTGGTCAGTGTCTTTGTCATGTTCCTGAATTCAACACTGAATGCTCCGAGCAACTGAGGACTCTAAGCAGTCTGGTGCACCAGCACAACCGGGAGCTTTGTAGCCTGGTGCAAACATCAAACATCATCAAACATCAATTTCTGCAAAGTATCAAGTTCCGCTTGCAGCTTCTACTTCCACTTGCCTGGGCAGCTGGCTCCACAGTCACAGCCACACTTGGAGCAACATGGGCAATCCCCTGGAACAGGTTTACAACTCTATCAGCAAATCAAGCTCATGCGTCCTACGTCCAAACATCTTTTGGAGCACGCAAGTAAGCAAGCATGCATGATACTACCAAACTCTTCAAACGCCCCGCTGTGCTTGTCTGTTAAGCAGGTATGATCTGTGAACAGCAAATTAACGATTCATTCTAGTGACTAGTGATATTTGCTGAACCTAGTTACACATGCAATGCCCCCGCAATTTACATCTTCATCTGACTGAGGCAAGTCTCAACCTGAAGAAGTTCACTCACTAGTCGCCTGCTAATGTCACCGCTGTGTGTTATTACTGATGCACCTCGAAACCTGAATTACAAAGGAATCAAATGTGTGTGCACATGCCCTCAAGGTTTGCTGCAAAGCATTTGTCTGACAATTCAACACAAATCTGGGATCCTACAAGCAAAGCCAGGTGGTCACCAGACCTGAGGTTTCGCCAAGCACCCCGTCCAGGAACAGCCATTGGAAGGCCACCAAAGCATGGCAGCGATGGCTGAGCATTAATTAAGACTATCTACTGTACATCAATCTACATTACTTTTGCTCCGATAATGTCTGTTCATCTTGAAGCATATCTGAGACATGTTGCCAGAACAATACTGTCCCGTTACATCCAGTGAATGCTTCGTTGGCAATCTCCTTTCCCTAAGAAGCCTCGGAAAACTCGGAATTTCTCCCCGGCCTGACGGCCCAAAGTCGGCTTTTCAAAGAGCTCTAAGGCAAAAAACTGAGACAACATGCACCGCAAGAGCCCTCCTTGGTCGCTCAGCCCGCTCAGTCCTTTCTGGCCTTGCAAAGATATGGGGTGTTCTTATTGCAGCACTTACACTTGCAATAGGTTGACTGGTTGCGCCACTTACACTTCTGGTTGCCATGCCTGCCGCTGCCGCTGACGATGCCGGCTCCAGCCTTGGCCACCTGGAATGCTGTCAACAATTCTATACTGTCAACAATTCGATACAGTAACATATAAGATCTGTGTACCGTAACTATGAACCAGATGTAAGCGCGTTGACATACCCATATATATATATAGATAGTAGATTATGGTAGTAGAATGTAGTGATAGTGCGGTTTGGTGCCTGGGATGGTAAAGGTCTGGTCTGTCCACCAGGTACCTTCTTCCCCTGCCAGGTCACAGTATGTCTTCACTCCTCAGTCTGTCAATACTTTTTGACGCAACTGATTTCTCGTACCTGAGAATCCACGAGGCAAAGCAGCTGAAGCTCTGAGTCATACATGAAGTACCTCAGCATTTCCAGTTTAAAGACTGGACTCCAGCCTTGAATGCATCTGAATGTAAGGCTGCCCCGGAAATGTTGACTTAGGCACTTCTTGTAGTCTAGGGTGAAGAAATAGGTCGTGTTCGGGTCATAGTACAACCGAGCCTGGCATCTAACATTGAACAAAAGAACTTCGAACCGTTGCTTTGATTTATGACCAAAAATTGTAGGAAATCCGATGAACAGGAGATTCTCATCATGCATCTCTTCTTGAGATTCTCATTCTGAGCCTTGGCATCTTTGTAGAACCCCGACTCCTGGAGGTTACAAAGCCGACATAGTTTGTCTAGTTTGCCACAGTACGCTCATTTCTGTACTGTACGCCTTGAAGGAATATGTTGAAGTATGTATATATAATTATATATATATATATGTATAATGTATATGTATGTTTATGTATTACAGTAGTATACGTATCGACTGCGGTTCTGCTTGGCCTACCTTGTCAAACTTGAAGCTGTTTGATGACCTCATCAGAACGAGCTTGGGCAGGGCGAGGCACGTTGAATGAGAGCTGGCCAAAGCCAAGCCCTACGACGCCAAACTGCTATACGTGAAATGAATGCAACGGAGAGAAGGGAAAGAAACACAAAACAAGTCGAAGCCAAACCCGAAACGGAGAGCAGTCGAGGCATGGGCTCAGAATTTTAGTGAGAGCAACTTCACATGAAAGTCCCGCCCATTTGTGTAGTCGATCAAGCTGCGTGTTAATCCCCCAAAACAAAAGGATTCTTCGGCCTGCATTGACTGCTTCGGAGCTCTGGCGAAAACATTGATCTTGCATGGAATCAGAACTGACATCATGAATCATGATGGCGGTGAGCTTGGGGACCATCAAGTCTGTTATCAAGTCACCAAGGATGCTGCTGCACAGTTTCAGTTTGCGCAATCGACTGCATGTAGTTGGCCTTGAGGTGCAAGCATTTCAAGTTTGCGGAGTGTTCCGATTTTGGACTTGGCTTGGAAAACAACATTCAGGTCATTCAGGTGCTCATGCTTGATGTATTCACATCTCGTGTCAAACAACCTGAGTCCGTCTCCCACATGGAGCCGTTCACTCCTGAAAGCGCCTGCCCAAGTCAAGCATAGCTGCTGTGAGGAGACTGAGTTTTGAGGCGGGTTCCGGCTCCTCTGTCATTTTCAGCCTAGGGCCTAATCGCTTCTCTCTTTGAATACAGTTTGCCTCTATGTGTTTACAAAAAACACAAAATGACCTACTGTAGATTCAAGCACACTTGGTGAAGCCCTCCCTGCCACCTTGCTGGTGTTCTCGTGCCTGCTGAATGAGTTGATCTTGACGTATCTCCAAATGTAAGAAAACAACTGAAAGCATAGCTCAGCATAGCTCAGTAACTAAGAAGCACACTGAATTTGCTGTTGCTGGAGCTTCTCAATTTCTGCGGATACCTCTCACAATCGCACGGTCGAAATAGATCCGTCCCGGGCACAAAAGAAAGTTGCACGAAAGTTAACGGGAACCGTTTGTGAATGCTGCGAATTATTTTGCCAAGAAATTTCGCATCCAAGGCTATGTTCACCGAGGATACATTTGGATACTTGCGCAAAGAAGACTACAACGTTTAAGCAAATTCAAAAGCAAAACAATGCACCAACATTCGAGCATGAGCTTCACAGCAAGAATCTTCCAGTATCTAAGTACTAGAGAACACTTCTTCAACCTCATTTTCAAACTGCTTCCATCTTAATCTTCTCTGTGCAGCTAAAATAGTACCAGTGTACTTTCAGCACTGGATTTGTATTAGGGTGGCACTGGCGGAACTATATAACTTGCCTGGAAGGATCTAGCATTCCAATGCGTTACAAAGAGTTGAACCGCCAGTGTCAGCAAATGAAAACCATGTGCCTGCCAGGCTGTCTATCTACAAAGCTTGCAATGTCGGGAGGCCAAAGCGCCAGCGTCGCCAGCGCCGCAAGCGCAAACAAACAATTTGGCCTCAAAAAGCGCAAGCACTAGCGGCCCTAGCCGTTAGTGCTGGAAGAGTTGAGATCACGGTGCTCAGGTCAGACATCTCGAGTCGCTCGGTGTCTCCTGTCCTCGTCCACTACCCCGAAACAGAGGCTTTACGGGACACGCCGTGGCAATGAATATCCGTTGTAGGCCTCAAATGCAATGCTGAACACTTCGGAATATACTTACCTGAAGCCCTCAGAACAATGAACATACATACAAAATAAGATAATAAACATACATACATCAAAGACTTCACCCTGTGTTTAAGCCTCCCGACAACAGGAGGTGACAAAGACATCAGTGGCTGTTGGGTCCTAGGCAACAAAGGCAACAGCAAGAGGACAAAATTGATCAAAACACGCAGTCAACGGAGTCAGTTGGAGGCCATTGCTATCTCTCGATCTATCTCGATCCATTGAAGACCGGAACTTGAGGAACATGAAGGCCATTGGCCAACTGGGAGCGCAGCCCTTTCTGAGAGCCGTATGACAGTGTACTCCTGGAACCCTGGCGACAATTTCAGAAACATAGATAATCTTGAATCTATAGTGTTCAGCCTCTGTAGTAGGGATTGAGAAATGTTTAGGTTATGTAGGCACGGGACAAGAGAAGGCAAAGATATGCACAGTTTCACATTGACGCTGGGTGTGATAGAGCCAATATACAATACTAATTTGAAGGCCTTTACCAAAGTCCGTTTCCTGTTACATACTACAGGATAGATTTGGATTCCAGACGCTTGTGCAAACGTTCAAGTCTTTAGATAATACAGTTCGAGGGGGTGCCCTTCTTCGTTTGGTTTAAGACCTTTTTCCAGTAAACAAGGGCACCCTTAATATCCCTTAATGACTCATATAACGATAAAAATTCGCGAGTTTTTGTTCACTTGGCATCTGAACATGAATTGAAACGTGTGACCATCTAATCTATAGCTTCGGAGCAGGGAAGTAAACACAATAATGGATTGTGGCACACTGTGTGCAGTTCTAGGGGGTGCCCTTTTGCTTCTGGTTGAGGACGTTTTTCCACATAAAGAAGGGGCGCCCCCAATGACATATCTTTGCATGAGGATGACTTTGGTTTGGCATCCGCGGAAAAAGACATTTTTTGGCGAAAGAGGCTCCAAAAAGCGATCTCAAATCTAGCAAGTTAGAGGGATCCCACTTCCAAAGCAAAAGGATACTTCTAGGCTGGAACACAGGGAACTGGCAGTGCTGAACCTGGCTTAGCACCGATGAAGCATGGTTAGGACTCACACACCTGGTCAGACCACCTAAGTAGGCCCCTGAACACTTTGTGACGCTAATGATGCACCTACTCCGCGTCATTGGCGTCACTCCCATCACCCAGACCCTTAAAGCATATATTTTCACTACCTTTTGGAAGGCCTCTTTTGTCCGTTCTCCCCTACCAAGCTCTGGGTTTACCTACCGGTTTGCTCCCTCCTGCAGCCCTCCCACCCCCACACCCCTTAACACTCACTTCGTTCGCCGTCCTCAGCCAATTAAGCCTACCAGCTGGCTTTCGTAATATTGCTTCTTCAATAGACTTGTATATTTTGAGGATAGTCCGTGGGAGCAGGGAGTCAGTAAACTACAGTAGTATGTGGCTCGCAAAAGTAGCTACGAGTAGCTGCTGCCAGCAGAATAAGAGGGGTTCAAGGACACTTTTTCCATCGCAGCTTCTGACGGACGAACTCCTGCCTGTATCTTTTGAATATTGAAGCAACCGCAAGTATTTAACATGCAATATGTTAGTATGAAAAATAAACATGTATAATGTACGTTGCCCCTGAGTACCTGCTGCCAAACCGAACAGGAGTTTTCCTCAACTTCTCCTAAGCTTCTGCTTTTTCCTGTCTTTGCGTGGCAGCTTCGAGGATTTGCCACTCACTCCACGCTGCTACTCAGCAGGGGCGAAAACACTGTTTCGAGTCGCCGTCTTTGCCTATAGGAGGTGGAAAGTCCAAAGACTCCGACCGCTCTGTCCGTGCCTTCCTTTGAGTATCCCAGAGAAACGACCGCCGGGCCGCGGACAGAGTCGGCAGCAATGGTCCGTGCGTGTGTTGGCCTAAAATCTCTCTTCTTGCGTGGGAGGAGCGCGAGAAGGTATTCAGCACGCGCTCCACGCCTCCAACTCTAACAACCTCCGTGTAGCAGGGACGGACGCTTACGGACATCTGGTCGGGCATCCTGCGCAGCAGCTACTGTTTTTGATGCATGAGCTCTGCAAAAACCTTCAGACCAGATATGTTCAAGATAAATACAGGTTACAAAGGATTGCGTCCATCTCACGAGCTTGGTTAGGAACGCGGCGACCTTCACTTCGCAGAACTAACGAGTGTGGGCCCTTGCTTGCACAGTAAGTGGCTTGCCTAAAGCTGCTCTTCTCTTCTTTCTCTCTTGAATTCCTGTGACTGCGACGTCCTTCGACATGGACTTTGCCTACTTTCCCCATGTGCATCGAACAGGCCGCTGACTGGGCCTGTCTGGGTTGAATCAGGGTGAACATACGTCTGCCGGACAGCTGCGCTGACAGGAGAGACGAGTACGTCGCAGTTTGCGGCTGCTAGAGCGACCTCAAGAATGTGCGTGGAGACACACTTCGCCACTTCAACGCTGTCAAGACCGCACGCAGTTCCAAGCTGTTGATGCGTTCCTTGTCTTCCAACACGAACCACAAATGGTCCTCCAACGCCGCAAGTTGGAAGGGGGGCCAACCCTCACGCTATGGTAACGTCGGACATCTTCCTACGGGGGCCTGCAACAAAAGGCCCTCACTTTACCACTAACTAAGCCACTCAACTTCTGACTCAAATGGTCCTATACAAAGGAGCAATTGGAACCTGAGGCGCTCGCGTGTTACGACGCAACAATAAAACCTGCGAAGAAGGACTGCCGGCCGAGGAGGCGGGGTCACCTCCCGTAGTCGAGGAATCTGAAGCAGTGACTGTTCCAGACAACGCCAACCTGAAGTCCATTCGCGCAAGAAGAGCAAGAAGGCAAAACCCCGCCAGTTCGACGCGCGGCACCTGGGATGACCTGAACGAAGGGCCCATCTTCCAAGCTCTGGATGAAGTTGAAAAGTACAAAAGGTCCAGCTACCCTGCATCTGCCGCTGGGTGCACTTCTTCTGTTCAAGGGGCAGTTGGCATAGTTGCAGGTATTTGGCTAGCTTGTCGGACTTGGGCGCAGCAACGCCTAACCGACCGTCAACCTCAGCACCTTGTACCTCAGCGCCAGGACCACGCGCTCCCCCCTTCTTGGGACGCCGGCGCGTGGCGGTCATAAGCAGACCTCAAGGCTTCAAACAACGGGGGACAGCTACCTCTGACCTTCTCAGCTGTCACGTGGTCCATCTTCTCCAATCTGTCGAAAGTATCAAGTATAGACGCGGTAGCTGGGATTGCTGTATGTGAGCCGCCTGTGCGGCGTTCTGCCTCTCCAACGTGGAACCCAACCCTTCTCACGCACTCCTGGACGGCCTGTCCCACGATGGTGCGATGTATGTGTTGGGCCAAGGCGACAGAGCTGCAAAAGCCCATAGGCAAGATGCGGCTGCGCAAATAACGAGGCTGATTGTCATCAGGGGCAATGCTTGATAGCACCGGTTTCGCAAAAGCCAAGTATATATCGATGCCGTGCTTCCGGGACGGTGAAGATGTAGAAGAAACATCGCACGTCTTCTTCAGAGGTAACGAGCAGAGATTCGCCTTCGCCCAGTTCAGACGGATGCATCGAAGGCCACGCAGGTAACGTGCTGACGTTTTCATTGATAGGTCTGCAAGTTCTGTTCAGTGGTATGAAGTTCGTGATGGGCCTGTGAACGGGAACGCGCTCATGCTCTTCTTCGTTGGGCACGCCAAGCAGCCATTTTAAAGTGGATCGGATCACCCTGAGCCTTGTTGACAGCATCGTGCCTAATGAGACCACAAGTGCCCTTGGAGGCCTCTACAGAGATCCCAGCCGCTGGTTGCTGCTCCAACCAGTCGTCCAACTCCCCCAGGAGGTTCCGCAAACGAAGTGTGCGAAAAGGGATGAACCCTTGCACACCACTCCGCTCGCCGATCAACCGGTGGAGGCGAAGAAGTGAGGTACACAGCCCGCAACTGCAATGGGCTGCGTGACCCCACATTCAGTTGAGCCGAAGCTGAGGAGAAAACACCGTTTCAAGTCGTCGTCTTTACTTACGAGGTTGAAAGCCCATGTATATCATCAAAAAAAGAGTTCAATATAAATGTGCTTTCTCTCTAGATGTCTTGAGCCACTTTCTCCCACACATCTCCTGAGGGCTCAAAGCAGGTGGGGTTGCAGAGACCTGTCAAGCGCATGACATGACTTGCTCCTCACACAAAAACACAAAAGCAAACGTACAATGACCCGAAGTGTTCATGACATTGGCTTGTCTTGAACAATTTTGCGTGATCAGCCAACTTGCATGGGGCTACCTTTTGTGTAGAGACAATCTGGAAGTGGAATCAGTGGAATCATTGAATTCAGTCTTGACAACAAGAAACGCGGAACTCATGGTCCTGGCCGTTGAAGCTTGTAACAAAACACACGATCCAAACTTTGAGACCATGTTGAACATTTTGAAACAATTCAAAAAAGCAACATTGTTCACACAATCTTTCAACCTTTCATGCTCCCTGCGCCAGCCCAACCTGAGCTGAGTAAGCTGCTGTTCCATTGGCCAATCTGGCAGGCTCCTTCAGATCTCGCAAAAGCAACAAACGGCGCCACACGGTACCCACCTATACAAGTCACAAATCCTTAAAGCTTCTCCAACGTATACCGTATACTATACAACGAGCAATTACATAATTACATATCCATCCTGATGCCAAACCCAGCCCCTATCAGAACTGAAACCAAATTGTTAACATGATCTTTCAACCTTTCATGCTCCCTCCGCCAGCCCAACCTGAGCCGAGTAAGCTGCCGTTCCATTGGCGAATCTAGCAGGCTCCTTCAGATCTCGCACAAGCAAAACAAACGGGGCCATACAAAGCCTGATGGTACCCATATACAGCAGTGTTGTCACCTATACAAATCACAGATTACGAACACGCTTGTAACCTTCTCCAACGTTTTACTACAACGTGCAATTACACATCCATCCTGATGCCAAACCCAGCCCCTATGAACACTGAAACCAAATGGTTAAAAAAACTAGCCAAAACGAAAATGATGGCTGCCAGTAGCTCACATGCTGCACCACTTAGTTCTGCGGACTGACAAAACTTGGGCAGAACAACAGTGACGAACCTAAGAAACAAACAGACCTTTTGCATTTCACGCCTTGGAAGGGACAGCCGCATATCCTGCTGCCATGGCCTGTTTTTGATCTAGCGAAAGCAGAATGGATGATGCACGACGAAACACAACTTCTTCCATGGAGACATCAATGCCTTATCGTGGGCCTCTCCGGAATACATTGCTGACATCGCAAGACACCATCAAATATCGATAGTTTATTCTTCAAGCTAGATATGCGATATGCATATGAGTTCTGTCCGAAATTCCCTACATCTGGGGGCGGTTATCAGGACAAGGCATCGGGCTTGGGCTTTCCTCATCGGTTTCCAACGTTCGATGAATATCACTAACATACCTTATGCTTCCAAGCAAAAATATGTCAGTATGATTCAGTATGTATGTAATTATGACACACAGGCATCGGTCTTGGGTTTTCCTCATCGGTTTTCAGTCTATTCCGACGTTTTTGGACGGATCTCACATCCTCCCGCCTGCCCATTCTGAGGGGACACGCCTGGACAAACCCAACAGCTGAACAACTCTTTCAACCGATCAATTCATCCAGCAGGCAGGTGGGCCTTCGGACGAATGTGTTCAATCTTCCACGTTTCAACATAGGAGCCTATTGTTTTGCTAGTATCTTTGCCTGTGAGCAGCATCTTTTCATACCTGGCAGCTCTCGCTTGCAGTCACTTTTTTTGCATGAAGAACTGACTGTTGCAACATAACCAGGCTCCGTGGCTCTCTCGGACCATCGTGGCTCTCCGAGGGCACTTCCGCATTCTCTTGTTCAACTCCACTATGTGGTTGCTCACCACACGGCCAAGATGTTTGATCCTTGGCAATTTTGTAGGCAAGCACTGGCACGGCAAGAACGTCCAAAAAGTTCACCAAACAGGGAATTAAACATCTGTACCAAAATGTAGATTTAATATGATTTAAGATGATTTAAGCACACCTCAAACCAACTATTTGTGCTTTGCCATGGTCTATAATTTTGTCCCATTTGATTAGACACCTGGTTTAGCAATGACGATCCATAGTAGCAGGAATCGCAGAAATCTTAGATTCATGTAGGGGAGAAGGAACTGAAGGAACTGGTTGTGCTGCACAAATTGAAGCACAATCTCATGATTCTGATTCCATTCGACTTGCCTCAATATTGCTCAAGGCCCAGGCTTTCTCGCGTTTAGCATGCTTTGTTCAATCGCTGCGTCTGCTTGTTCCTCCTGGACATGAAAAAAGGGGAAACTGCTCTGTTGCTTGTTAGCAGCTGGTGGTTTTGACTGGAAAGTTGGAAGCCACACATTTCACACACACACAATCTATTCCTCTAGCTCATGCTCGTCATCTGCGAAGTCCAGGTTTTTCATCACCTGCACAGCCACTGATTCAAATCCACCCGTTGAACTCCACAACCAAGTTTCAGAGCTCCATTTAATGCAGGACAACTCAATCATGGAAATCATACATCTGTGGGTCAAAGCCAAAAGACCCTGTACAGCCTATGAAATGATGTGGTTGTCAACCATTATATAAGGCGATAAGACCGTGTGCCGAATAGGCTTTAATCTTTGTGATTTGAAACAATAAAAATATATTCTATACCAGTAGCAGTGAAAAAAAGCAATGTGGGATTCCAAGAACCGAAGTGAACTCCGAGCGAACCAAGAAACAGCCACCATGGCGCTTACAACGTGGCCACCAACCAAAAGCCGCGCTTAGAGAAGTGACACCTCCATATCTCATGTGCCGACGTGGCAAGAAATGGACAAGTGAGGGTCTCAAGGACTCAACCGGTCTCAGCTAGGTTTCTGTGTGGGTCACTGGCGGCAACAGAAAGTAGCTGCGCCATTTAGTTCCAATTCTTGCAGCCAAATCGTGTCAGCATGGTTTTTGTTCCAAAGACGGTGTGGAGCAATAAGGTTGAGAGATCGAGGAATATGTTCTTCCGGTATGCTCAATGCTGTGCTGCTTTGGGGAATGGCGTAACAAGGTGCACCCCCCTTTTAGCTCTTGCTCCTTCATAAGGTATAGGCGACAAAAGAGAGGTGACAGTACATGACCAAACGTGATCCTCTACCCAATCGGGCACAACAAAACCCTCAAATGCTACAACGGGGAGAGATTGAAGACTACCAAGAAACGGACTACTGGACCAAAACAAAAACGAGCCTCAAGAGCCACTGCGGTTGTGCATGAAGTTTTGGATTGCGATTGATAACTGCAAACAAACCCGGGAGCATGGGTAAACATATGTAAAAATGGTCCAAACTTGGAAAAACAAGTTGACATTGGATCTCCGCGTGGTATTTCCTGACTTAGAATAGTTTGGGTTTGCTGTTATGCTATTGGGAATAGACATCGATTTGCTTGCAATTCGTGATGCCGCCCCATTACTGCCCCTTGGCTTCAAACCAGGTCGAATGGGTATAACAGTATAACATGAGAAATGATCTGGCAACGGTATGAAAGAAGCACATGGCAAACGGTTTATTTGGGAAGAAAACATTGTTTGGTCTTGACCCACAGTCATACAAAATCATCTTTAGACCAAAGTGCTTTTGCTCCAAGCCTCTTGCAAAGCCCCGGTCGAGTAAACCAATTGTGGCAGGAGAAGCAAGCTTGAAAATGCTAACCTGGCATCGCCGATACTGACAAACACAAGGTTCGTTTGTTCCAGACATATACATTATATACAGTATATACTATACAGTATATACTAAAATATTTGACCTGTGTGAAAGATTGAATCATACATTCCTCGTCTCGTGTACTGCAACCCCACTCCGTCTGCAAGGTGTCTATATACACGCACTCTTTTCAACACAACATTTAGCGGCTAGCGCTTCTCGAGTTGCGTATGCAGGACAACATCTTTCCACACGGGGTATGTAATCAGTAGTAGCAATTTAGCTCGCAAATGTGCAATATCATTTCACAAACAGTGTTCCATTGCACCACCAGCAATTAGTTTTCAGTAGAAATGGTGCTTAGCAGCCAACAATGGCTTTACTCCTAGTAGTAGTCAGCGGCAGTGTGAATCCTACCACAGCTGTAGATGCAGTAGGAGGTAGTTGCATAGATAGATTGTGGCTTGTAGACAGTGTGAAGGTGTAGGACCAGTTCGCAGTCATTGTGTTCTGGAACACGGAAGGAGCTAGGAGACATGTGCGGCATTCAAGGCCTTGGCGGCGGTCAACGGAGGATTCGGAAACTCGAACGGCGGATTCGGAAACTAGGATTTGGAAACTAGAAGGAGCGCGGATTCGGAAGCTAGGATTCGGACACTAGAAGTGAAATACGAATATGTCCACGCTACATCAACACAAACATTTCATTAGATCCCCACCCCACCCCCCCACCCCCCAGTTTCTGAATCGGAGCTAGTTTCTGAATCGTCTTCTGTTCCCTTGGCGGCAGTATGTTTCCATTTCAGGCTGTCGACAGGGTCAGTTTTCAATGTCAACACATGGCAGGTAAACAAAAACAAAAGCGAACTTCTCGGATGCTGTTTGCACAGCTCCATTGCCTCCCGGAAAAAACACACTTGGACCGACAGTTGGATCAATAAAGCAATCAAACCAAGACAAATACTTTCGTAACTAGTTACTTTGGTAGCAAGGAACAGTTTCAGCTTGACGTTCTTCAATTGATCCCAGCTTGTGTTTTCAAGTGTTGAACTCCACTGAGTCTTAAAAGCATGCAGTATCGGATCTGCAATCCTTCTGGAAAGAAAGTGGTCGAAAGTCCTCTGTGCAATACCTTGGGGCTGAAGTTACACACTTGAAGTTACATACAGACTTGATCCATCAAGGCCCTGGCCCGCCCAAGTCCGGATCTGCCTGGCAATCTGCAATGCAACGCCTGTCTTCTGTCTTGTTGCATTCCATATCATGGCAGAAGAACCATCTTGGAGATCTCTTGTTTGATATCCCAGGGGAACTTCGACATGCCTTGGACTACACGAGCAACACAAAGGATACAAAAAGATGAATCTTCTGTTTCTGGTGACCTGTTCTGCCAATAAGACTAGGGCAAGAGAAGGCTTCGAGCAACTCCAAGACCATGTACTGCAGGCGCGGAATGGGCAAAACACCAAGTGGCCCTCACAATGTCAGCATGTCATACATTGTCGTACTATCCGCCGACACTTTCCAAGGTGAGAGGGAAGGATCCAACGAGGCACTTCAGGATTTGCCCCCGGACCACACTTACTTATCGAGTCCGTAGTGGGCATTGGCATCGTGGTTTAGACGGCAAGGCGGAGACTTAGCAATGAAGTTCTGTCCAACTATATAAAGATGAATTGGAGGACGAAGTTCCAACCCCTGGTTTGTGAGACCACTCCCCCCAAACAGCATTTGGCAACAAATGTCCAACCGACAACAGTCTGCCAGCGAACTCCCCACCCAATCCAACTACGCTTCCCCACAAAACGGTCTGAGAAGTGTGGGGATGATGCTCTTCTAATGGTTCATGAGGCCCTGCATCTCAGGCCAACCAAGTCTGAGGGCACGACGCCTTTCAAAGTGTCTTCCCAGGTCCGGAAGTCATCTTTATACCAGGACCACATGGCACACACCTGGGTGAGAGGCATCATGATCTCATGGCAATGGCAAGTGACTTGAAGTGAGACTTGATTTAGCACGATGTGTACAGTACATCCAAACATATCATGCAACGTACTGCTAATTTGATGCTCCATTCAGTTGTTGCAAATAGAACTTTTACTGATTCCAAACAGCACATATGATAATTAATGATAATTAGCTACTACAGTCTACTTAGGACAGGAAGATGGAGTAATCACATCCGTTTTTCTTTCGCTCAACCTCTCTCTCCCTCTCTCTTCACATAAGGCTGCAGCGTCTCTTGACGCTGGAAGTATTCCGGAGTCTGCAGCATGGAAGGAGACAAGCGTTATCCTGGTGCTGAGCACGTTGAGCAAATCATTAATAAACTCAGCACCGACATGATCTCTTGGCTACAACGGTGTAAAGCGAAGCTGGAAATCTTGTTCAAAAGGCCTAGAGTAGAGCACGAAGAGCACAGTGAAAACAATGAAGTTTTCCAGCCTACCAGAGCAAAAGCCGGAACCACAACGAAATCACACATGTCAAGACAAGGATGTGATGCGAGAAGGGGAAGTTGCGTTGTTGCGCTCAATTGATGACAGCTGAGGCATTGGCCGACGAGCACCTGTCAGTTTTGAGGTTCCTATGATACTTGGTGCATTTTGGAGATGATATGAAAACAACAACTCTACCGCATGCAAACAACACCCATCATAGCGTCTATGTATTATATAAATGAGATGAACAACAGTGTTTTCAAGCTGTTACACAATTTGGCACTTTGAAGAGTTCTTGAATGTGGGCGTTCCTTGCCTCGGCCGCGATGCAGCACAGGGAAGTCGAACATCTTAGCCTGTGGGAATTCTGCAAGGATATATATATATATTATATATATATATATTTGTAAACAGGGCTCAAGGGCTCGACTTCACTCGAACCCTTCAAATCGCAGCTACTTCAAACGAGTCCAGCAAGATTAGAAATATAGCCTGAAGACTTTCCGCTAATATTGAATTGAGCAAATTTTGCTGGCAAAATCCGGCAAAAGCTTTGTATGTGATTCACTGCGATCGACACAACAGCACCACGATCGCATGGATGGTTTGTTCATCCCCCGCAACGCGGCTCAAGGAAATGAATCCAAGCACCATTGATTATCTTAGATTTGCTTTCCAGGAACCTGGAAATGTTAAAATAATCTTCCCAGAAGGGGATTTACTTTTAGGGAAAATAACGGCTTTCACAAAACTAGGTTTTTGTTTGGTGATGACCACACATCCACCAGAGTCCGAATGTCACCAGCCGGCAGCCTAGTGAGACATAGTGAGGTTACTGAGACTAGGCATGTTACGCTACAAGGTCCAACCAAACATTGAATCTTCAAGCCATCCGGCGACTGAATCGCACAATTAGTCTTTCCTGAGGCCTTCACCAGCGGGCTCGAATCCATCGCTCTTAGTCTCCTTGTCCTGAACTTATACTAATCTGTGCTGCACAATGTTGCACAAACCCTAATCAACTTGACATTTGCTCCAAACACACTAATTACGAAGGTCCAAGGCAAGCCATCGGAACAGCCACTCGCGCCAGCGAACCGAGGTATACTGAGAGAGAGAGAGAGAGAGAGCCCGTGAACTGAGGCTTGAACAGCGGCCAAAGCTGGAACGTGAAGTTCTCAAAGTTGTCCAGGTGCATAATGGTTTTCACCTCAAACATGACTGTACAACGCATAGGCTGTAGTGCAAGAATTGTCGGGCCAAGATTCTAAATTCCACATTGCCACATCAAGCCTCAGTGAAACCAACATATAGTTTGTTTGACCGAACCACTAAGAAACGCACATGCGAAAAAGGGCAGGAGGACCATATTGAATCTCGCCAGAACTAGGACAAACCTATGAAACTAGACTAAAATATGACAGGCCTTTCATTTTCAAGTAGTGATGTGTCTAGAAGCATACACCTGAGTGTATAGTGTATATGGACGTGTATGGCAAGACCTTGTGGCCTTTTGCTTCCAAGTTTGGCCAAGGGACTCCACAATAAAGCTGATTGCAAGGGCATCAAAAACTGCCTCTCGGGCCAGGATTGCAAGCAATATGTTCAACTGTGTCTGAGCATGTTAAAGCATTGTGCAACAGTGCAGCAGTTATTTGCACCTTGCCTCTTTGACATTGTCACTAGCCATGATGATGCTCATGGACCTCATCAATCTGCAACATATATGTATTTTCCCGAGTGCGTAGCGAAGGGTTCTTGTTTAACTCTGGGGGTCTAGGGGTAGAGCCTTGTTCGCGACTCGTTGTCTGAGCGTTCGCAACCGTTTGCAGGTGGAGCGCTATGACGCTGACATTGGAGAGGGTTTTGGATGGAAGCATGACGCGTCAGATTCGTGCGAAGTAGCGAGGAAACGTGTGGAAACGTGAGAGGATGAAGTGTGGAGGATGAAGCCCCAGCGCAGTGACATTGGGATTTGCGTTTCAGGGTGTTGCATCGAAGCTGTGTTCTCGCGACAAGTCTCAGCTGAAATGACGATTTTGGTGGATGGGAGTGTGCTCAGAACGGGTCGAAATCATTTCAACGTGTGGTGTGGTGCAAATTTTGTTGAAGCGAACGCGATATGATTTTGTTACTTTTCGTGGCAGGTGTAGTACTTTGCACGGGCTTTGAGGTATGGAAGTGCAAGTTTCGAGGCAAGCGCAGGGAATCGTGAGGTTGCGAGGTGTGGCGGAGGTCACATTTCGTGGCAGGCGCAGTACTTTGTGCGCGTTAGACGCGTGGACGCGGAAAGATTCGTGGCAGGCGCAGGGAATCGTGAGATTGTGAGTTGTGGTAGAGGTGAATGTCGCTGTGACATTGGGATTGGCGTGTGAGCGGGTGTTGTTTGGAGGGGCTGGACTCGCGAAACTGCTTGGCAGGGCTGCTTGATGTGTGTGCTCCGATGGGGCTTGCCGCTTGACTTTTGGAGGAAGTCTCGTACGAATGCTCGCTTTGGAGACTTTGACATATTCTTGGAGGAAGTCTCGCGCAAAACGCTTGACGCGTGACTTTTGGAGGAATGCTCGTTTTGCGCACTCGAAGCGTGAGTTTTTGAGGACGTCTCATACCAAAGGCTAGTTTTGGAGACGTGACAACACTTCAGTAGCAGTGTTTTGAGCGAGCCCCACAAGAGTGTCCCACAAGAGTGTCGCCCAGAACCCTACTAGAGTCCCTGCAAGAGCGTCCCACAAGAGTATCCGACAAGAGTGTCCCACAATAGTGTCCCACAAGGGTGTTCCATAAGAGTGTCCTACAAGAGTGTCCCAGTGTCCGACAAGAGTGTCCTACCAGAGTGTCCTGCATGAGAGTGTCCCACAAGAGTGTCCCGCAAGAGTGTCCCACAACAGTGTCCCGCAAGAATGCCCGACAAGGTGCCCGACAAGAGTGTCCTACACGAGTGTCCCACAAGAGTGTCCCACAAGAGTGTCCCGTAAGAGTGTCCCACAAGAGTGTTCCGCAAGAGTGCCCCACAAAACTTTCCGACAGGAGTGTCCTAGAAGTGCCCCCCACAAGAGTATCCCACAAGCCTGTCTGACAAGAGTGTCCGTCCTATACGAGTGTCCGACAAGAGTGACACACAAGAGTGTCGCGCCAGAGTGTCCCACAAGAGTGTCCTACAAGAGTGCTTCGCAAGAGTGTCCTACAAGAGTGTTCCGCAAGGGTGCCCCACAAGAGTGAGTGTCATGCTAAGAGTGTCCCACAAGAGTGACATACAAGAGTGTCCCGCAAGAGCATCCCACAAGAATGGTCTGACAAGAGATGACAAGAGTATCCTACAAGAGTGTCCTACGAGAGTGTCACAAATTGCTTGGGCGTTTGTTTTCGAGTACGTGTTTGCATTCGGGTTCGTGGGTTTTATCTTGTTTTTGAATATACACCGCCCGAAATTGTTTTCTCAACAGCCGAAGCCCCGGTTTCACAAGTGCCCAACTGCACGGAGACCCAATACTGCATCATCACTTTGGTCCTGGCTCGGGGTATGATGCTGATGCAGCTTCAACCAGTGACTGATTCGTGCGACAAAGTCAAACAAACAGGTGAGGGGCACAGCAATGCCATAATTGGGAATGGTGCCAAAAAAGGTGACCAGTGAAGCCTTGATTGATCTTTATTGTGGCTGAAGCAAGGTGTGCAACTGTGTGGGATCACTGAGGTTTCTTGTCGAGGTGGTTCCAAAATCTGACAACCTGCAAAATCAATCAGACTGAGTGCAAAGTCTACAGTACCTGAGACGAGGACACGTTTAGCCTGGATCGACCTGTCCTGCAGTTGCCCCAATACTAAGGGCAAGCGGCAATACGGAAAAGTGTACACAGCAACCGGACAGCTCAGTGCCAATGCCCTCTTGCAGGTTTAGCCAGTGCCGGATATATTTCATTCCAATCCTTGTGTCTTCCGGGTCAATACGCTTCACGTCTGTCCTCAGCCCATCCGACAAGCAAAATGCACAAACAAGCAGCTAACAAGCATATTGAGACGACCACTCCGCCTCTAGCCAATGTTTCTGCTTGGGCGCCCAGTGGGACAAGTATCAGGATGTATGATTATGATGATTATGTAGTCATCAATATTCGGGCTTGCACCAAGTTGTGGGATTGATCACGAACACGAAACACCGCAGCCTCGGGATCACTTTCGGTCAACACAATAAAAAGGACAATGGACTCAACCCGATGCATCTTTGCCGTGCATTGCTGTGCAGTTCTTCTTCCTTATTGGTTCCCTGTCTTTCTGCCTTTGAGAGACTGAGTTCGCAGCGTCATTAGCATGTTGTCAAAAAATGACAGCTGGACTACCTGCCGACAACATCGAAGGATATGATAGGCAACCAGTAGATTTCAGGCATCGATTCGTTGCAGGTTTGGCTCTCCATGTGAGGGGCTGACCACAATCAACAACAATTTCATGCTGATGACCATGCTTTCCTGGCACAGGGCAATCCATGCAGCTTGCCTTCCAAAGATTGAAATCAAAGCGATCAGAGGCGTCTGCGGCGTCGACACATGCGTGTCAACATTGACAAGTCGGACACAAAAGCCTCTGTGCTGATGTCCAAAGATCTCCAATATGCAGGCATTCCGAAGGTAGTCTCAGCACATTTCACTGCACAGTTCCTTCATCAACTCGAATCTGCAGCTTACAATGTAGCTAGAGTATGTATGTATTCAGCATTCGAGGGTCCGGACACAAAATGTTACCCAGAACTGCAGCAACACCTTGGCAAACAAGTTTTCACTTTCCTGTTTTGCCATGGCCAGAAACTACAGAGTCCTCAAATTGCAGGAATCTAATGCTGAGATGCAGTCCAAGGGTATGCAAAACAAAAACCTCGGCAAAGTGGCTAGGATGAAAGTTTGTTCCAACATACAATCAAATTATATACCCCTCAATGAGTCCCAAGCCTCTGAGATCAAAGAAAAGACTGAACTGAACCAACCTACTGGTGATGGCATCAAACCTAAGAGCGATGGCCTCCAATAGATCCTCTACTTCTCACAGTATCTTGTCTGATGGTCTGTCAAATCAAACCGAGTGTGGAACAGGATGCCCGGATGAACGTGCAACTCATCGGAGCCATCGAGGTTCATGGTGACGCCGCCAAAGGCAGCAACCAACACGGAGTCATACATATCAACCTCAGTCTGCCAAGCTACAAACAGTTGCAGCGAAATCTAAATATCACTTGGCAAACATGTCACTGCCCATCCCAATCATTCTTTTGCAGCTTGTTCTAGTTCCCAATCCCTATCTGTCAAAAGACCTCGATGCCTCTATACATAAGCCTACAAATGATCTAACAAACAGTAAATTATAGGACCGGATAACACCACATGTTAACAACTTCACCAGACACAGGAGCGGACAACTGGTGGTTGGCAATTGGTTGGTGGCAGTCAATTGGTTGGTGACAGTTGGTTGGTGGCAATTGGTTGGTGGCAGTTGGTTGGTGGCAATTGGTGGGTGACAATTGGTTGGTGGCAGCTTGGTTGGTGACAGTTGGTTGGTGGCAGTTGGTTGGTGGCAGCTTGGTTGGTGACAGTTGGTTGGTGGCAATTGGTGGGTGGCAATTGGTTGGTGGCAGTTGGTTGGTGACAGTTGGTCGGTAGCAATTGGTAGGTGACAATTGGTTGATGACAATTGGTTGATGACAATTGGTTGGTGACAATTGGTCTTTGAGGAGCGAGGAGGAGGAGGGCGGAGGAAGGAGGAGCGGATACCACACTAAAAACATACACCCCACACGTCAATGTGGGGAATAAACTAAGGCCATCACATGGAAAAATACATCCGCAGGTTCGTTGTCAAGATCCTCGACCTCGATCACATCCAGAATTTAAAGAAACAAAAGTATATATAAAGATCAAAACGAAAGATAGCATACAGCATGACACAAGTGGAAGTAAGAAACTTTAGCTTCCGACAGTCGTCAACCTGTCAGTTCCTCTTGAGATCTGCCTGTCACGCGCAGTGACCTGGACATCAGCGACATCGCGTGTCACGGATGCAAGGTACAAGTGCAATGCAGCAACGTAGTGCAACAGGGAAACTGCATAGGCTTTCTTTCGATTCTGGTGATCCGGTGTCATTGAAGTTTCACCATGGCAAACTTACCAATCAGTTTGACTAGTATAGCTTTTGTCAATCTGATCCATTTGCACATTCGACGGCTTTAATATCTCATCATTGGTTTTGCTGCGGGCTCTCACAGTTGGCTATGAGAGGCAAAGGCAAGACGGACGACTTGCCATGGTTGATATATTAAAGCCATCCCTGGAATGCCAAATCGGATATTGATATGCTCCATGCCTTTGGGCTCCAACCATCCTCTGAATCTGTGTCCTGAGGGCAAGTGTCCAAAAAGAAGCTTGTTGAGTAGCAAGGCTGGGTACATAGAAAACCTTCGCGTTAGCATGGCAACAGCATAGCAACGGGTTTCAACAGGGCGCAGTGCAGGTGCAAATAGTGTCATGGCTTCGGCTTTGCAACTTCATGGTCCTCCATCTCATCACGCAATTGCTCAAGCCTCAGCGAGTTGGACCAAAGCTCTCTGCGATCCCAGAGCGCCGGGACACACATGACATATTGGATATGCGGCATAGTCAAACACAGTACTCTTTTACAAAAAACACATAGCTAGTCAAGTCAATCGAACATGGCAGCTCAGAAACTTTATGAACAAACAAATCTGTTGAACTGCAGTTGCTTGGCAGAAAACGCAACAAATTATGACGACTTTAGGTGGACGTAATGGGAAACTCCTTCAGCAAGAGAAAACAGCAGGTTAGACAAGCCAAGCTGGGCTAATGGCTTGGTAGGCCACAAATACTGGCTTACACATGTTCTTGTTTTGTAGAGCCACGTCAGCTTCTCTTACAAAGCATCCATTGGATTTGATATGGCTCCTTTATGCTTTAAGAATTTCTTATCCACAAACTGTATCTCCGAGCGTGGCGGTGAGAAAAAGCAGTACTTTGCAAATTGGTCGATCAGGGGTCTACGCCCTCGGATGCCCTTGTCAAGGAAGCACCCTTGGCTTGTGGTCTGTGGCTTTAGCTGAAAACACAAGTGAGTACTGTAATTCTGAATGGCAAAGATTTAAAAACACCACCAGCGCATTGCCAGTCCAAGAAGCTCATGCTGCGTGGTGGTCATCGGGTGACCAGGTCCTCGTACTACGCGGGCACGTCGCATTCCTAGATGCGCAGCACAAGAAGACGCAAAATCCAATTAGGAACAGTTGAAAGCTAAAACCTTGGTCTATCACGTAGTAGGCCGACTCAATCGCGATCGAACGTGTCCGGTCGCGCCACAGCCTTTTTCAAGGTCTTGAGCCAAACGGGTTGGCGTCCAGTGACACAGTACACACGGCAAAGCCGATTTCAGATGATGCAAGTCTTTACATGACAATTCCAGTCTTGGATAAGTGCTCCTAGACTCTTCTCATCAACTATACATGAAGTGTGCAACCTCACTCAAAGCTCAGTTCTTCTTGGGGACGTTTCTAGCTGAGGGATTTCTTCTCCCCCCTCTGACTCCTGAGCTGCTCGACGGCTTGGGATCAGTTCTGAATCCCGGGCTATCCAGCTGTTTCGGAAAGGTTCTGTGGCACACTGATCCTGTCGTGCCCTGAGGTCCTGTCGCTACGTCTGTCGTTGGTGCATCTGGCTGCAAAGCCATTTGTTTGTCCAATTTCAGGCCAGTGCCTGATGTGTGCTTGATGGTGTATCCATCGAGGTGCACTCCAAGGTTTTGGAGGGTTTTGGGCCATAGTGCAGGCTCAACTGCTTTTGTGAAAGCATCGGCTTTCTGGTCGCTTGTTCCGACAAGGCTCAGTTCCACGTCATCGCGATCCAACTGTTCCTTCACCGAAGCCAAACTCACGCGATGTACGCGTTTGAGATGCCTCAGCTTCTTGGAGTATCCAGCTGTCACGACCTTCCCGCGTGCGGTGTTGTCTTCGCGAAGCCTCAACAACACAGGACGCCCAAGCATTGCGGAATACAACTCAACCAATGGCAAACCCTCTTCAAAGAGTACATACGACAGTGCGACAGTCTCGTGCTTCGGCGCGTAGCCGTCTGCTTCTTTGACAACCACGCCAAAGGAAACGACGTCCGAGGGCCAGACAACTGTAGCCATCCACCAGTGGTACTGTGGGTGTGTTCATCGTCTCCGCAGTAGTCTGCGTCTGCGAAAAGCTCAACAAACACATGCTCCGGCGCATCACGCGCATGCCCAAGCAACATAGCGTTCTTGGTGCGCTCGAGGTAGCACATGGCACGGTACAGGTACGCATCACAAGCTTGCGTCCAGGACTGTACCATGGTTGCCAACCAGGTCACAACTCTCAGCAGGTCGGGACGAGCAAGGCGTGCCAACCACATGAGTCTCATTAGAATGCTGCTGGCTGAAGCTGCCAGAGCACCACGCTCATCTGCTCCAACGAACCCCTTGCTGAGAAACGGTGATGCGACTACTTTCATCTTTGGGCTGTTTGCAACCCTCAAATACTCCTGAACAGTAGCCTCAGCGTAAGC